CGCCCCCACCGCCCACCAAGCCTCTTTGTGAGATCCTGAGACTCCCCGGAAGAAAGGGGAGCTGACCTGGCCAGCCAGGAGGTAGAAGGGACTCGGAACCATTCGAGACCTGGGTTTGCTTCATCTGTGAAATGGGCATCTTGATGGGTCTGCCCTATGCGGAGACCTCTCTGGGAGGAAGATCTGTGATTCTAGGAGGAATAGAACAGGGGGAGGAACCCAGGGTTCTGGTTCAGATCAGCAAATTCAGTAGACACGTGGGAGCAGCTGCTGGGTGGCTCACTGGACAAGCTGCTGCAGAGGAAAGACGCAGGGACAGCTACTATTCTATGGTCTGGGTCCCCTGGTGGGAGGAGGAGCTGGGTGTGTCAAATACTAGGGCTCCTTTAGAGGGTCCAAGGAAGTCCTCTAGTCTGGGAGGGGGATCCGGAAGGCTTCTTGGAGGAGATGGGGTTGAGTGGAGCAGGGAAAGAAAGCACAGTGCTTAAGGGCTAGTGCTTTGGCATTAGTCAACCTGGGCATTGGAATCCTTGCCCCTTAGCCAGTGGCTAACTTAGCCTGGGGCAAAACCTTCCTTCCTCAATGGTCCCGTTTGATGTACTCCTTAAAAGAAGCAGTTTTTCTGAAACATCAAGTCAGATAATCCATGTAAAGTACTTCGTACAGAGTCTGCATGTAGTAGGCACTCAACAAACATAAACTATTAATTTCCACTAGACTATAGCTCCTTGGGGGCAGGGACAATGTCTATTTGGTTCTATATTCCCGGCACTAGTGTGGTGCCTGGCATATAGTTGGTCTCACTATATATTTGTTGATTGAATGAACGATGAATGAGTATGTAGTCAACAAATAGCGAATTTAGAGATGGCCAGATGCTAACGGATGAGTATAGATAGAGCAGATGGTGGTCCAGGGGGGTGAAACAGTGTAAACAGAAGCCCAAAGTAACAGATCGGGAGTACCTCCCTCGTATGGGGCAGAAGGTAACGTGATGAGCATATCCAGAGCATAGAGGTCGGGAAGGGCCCTCAAACTCCTGGGATCCTGAATCCCAGCAGCCACACAGGGGTAGGGGAAGGAGCTGGTGGTATAGCTGGGTCGGATAGCCTTCTCACGTCCTCTAAGTGTCCATCTCAAAGTCATATGGGTAAGGGGAGGAAGGGGTGCTGGGTACCTGATGGGAGCAGAAGACGACAAGGGAAAGGAGTCCCTGGCCCCCTTCATGGGGTGGGGCATTCCTCGCCTTGTCCCTGCTGGTCTCTATGCAGGCTCATGGTGAGATGGTAGAAAGGGGCAGCATGGTGCCAAGGAAGCCAGCCACTGGGTGTTTGTGATGAGCTAGGCACACAATGAACCAGGTTAGAGGAATGTGCTCCATCTTTCGGGGAATCTGCTGTAAGAGTTTTATATCAAGAGCAAATCCTGGGGCGCCTGAGGGGCTCAGT